GACTGAACCTGGCATCTGCCCAAGGCTGGATGAGCTGTCCTTACTGCTTCCAGAGGGCCGCCATTTCCCTTGGGAGGGGCAGAAGGCTCCCCCTCTTTAGTGTTGTGGGCAGCTCACTCAGCCTCTCATAGCCTTGACTTCTCCCATGGAAATGGGGGTGATGATAGCACTTGTTTCTAGGGTTCAGTCATGTGTCCAGTGCGTGCTCAGTGAAGTGTCCACGGTTCCAGGAGCTTGAGCCCTGCCTTACAGCTCCTGGCGGAAGGACAGAAGGCAGCCATGCTAGGGGCCACCCTGTGCTTTAGGAAGTGCTGAGGTGGGACTGGCAAGGGAGGCTCCAAGGGCCCCATGGGGAGAGGCTCTCGGTCAGTGCCTAGTTGTCCTCTGCCGCTGCTCCTCTTTCTCAGGACTCCAGAGAGGCCAAAGAGCCCCCTCGGTCTCTCAGACATGTCCTGCCTATGAGCTGCAGCCCAGATCTAAGAACTACAGAAGTCCAGGGTGGGCGGGATGTCAGGGAGCCATCCTGTCCAGCCCCCTGACCATCCATGGTTCTTTCAACCCTTTCCCCCCCGTGTCAGTGCTTAAAGAACTGGGTGACGAAGGGCCACCCCGACATGGCAGAGCGCCTAGTCTGGTATCCCAGGAAGACGCAACTCACAAGGAGAGCCGTGGAGGGCTTGTTAGCAGCAAGAGGGTGTCAGCGTGTGACAGCTGGGGGCTGAAGGGTCTCAGGGATGGACTGAGGTTGGCGACTGCAGTGAGTGCCAGGGAGAGGGAAGAACAGACAGGACAGCTCAGGGGTAAGGAGCACACGGGGGTCTGGAATTTACTCTACATGCAGTGGGATCCTGTAATAATGTTCCTCCAGCTGGGCGTGGTGACTCACGCCTGTAATCCCAGCACTTTGGGAGGCCAAGATGGGTGGATCACCTGAGGTCAAGAGTTTAAGATCAGCTGGCTAACATGGTGAAACCCCGTCTCTACTAAAAATACAAAAAAAAGAGTCGGGCGTGGTGGCATGTGCCTGTAATCCCAGCTACTTGGGAGGCTGAGGCAGGAGAATCACTTGAACCTGTGAGGTGGAGGTTGCAGTGAGCCAAGATCGCGCCACTGCACTCCAGCCTGGGCAACTGAGCGAGACTCCGTCTCAAAAAGAAAAAAAAGTTTCCCCAAAGCAGGACCAGTCTGACCCAGGTGCTGCTCGGGAGCAGGCAGCAGAGTGAAACCTTGGCAGGCTCCTGCCCCCGTCAGTGGAGGAGGGTCCTTGGCAGGGGCACCATGGGCACCTGTCCCTCCGGCTGGGGAAGATGTCTTAGTTGGGCTTCAGGTTCAGGTAAATCTTCTCTTCGTTAGTTTCCAGAAAAACAGGGCAAGTGGGTGGAGCTGTGGTCTTCACTCCTGATTGGTCACTCAGGACACTGGGCATGTTTTGCAAATGAGCTGAGAGGTGGCTTCCTCCACTGAGCAGGAACCAAAGGGAGGGGTACTGTGATGACAGGAAGCTGCGTTAGGATGCACGGAAAGTCATCTTCCCGCAGTGAGCAGCGGTGCTGAGCGGAGTGACCTCCAAAACAAGGTAGCATCTGTCCCCAAGGCCAAGAGGTCATTACACTGAGGGGGCCTGACCTGAGGGAATGGGGGTGGGATTCCGGCCACATTACCTGAGCACATGAGTTCTTTGATGCAGAACCAACCACTGATGTCTCACTGTTGCCTTTTCTGTTTTCCTCCAGAATCCTAGTAACGGTGACATGGAAATAACTTTAAAATGCTCTAATCTCTTAATTACAGTACATAAGTCAAATGGTACACTCCTTACCATTAATCTACAATGATTGCATAGCCAAGAATGTGCATTTATTGGCATGGAAAGATGTTCACAATACATTGTTTTTGGGGTTTTTTTGTTTTGTTTTGTTTTTGAGATGGAGTTTCACTCGTTTGCTCAGGCTGGAGTGCAATGGCACAATCTTGGCTCACTGCAACCTCAGCCTCCTGGGTTCAAGCGATTCTCCTGCCTCAGCCTCCCTAGTAGCTAGGACTATAGGTGGGCTCCACCATGCCCCGCTAATCACAATATATTGTTAAATGTAAAAAGCTGGGGC